TCCACTACCTGGAAGCTTCGTCCTTTCGCAGACGAGACGTCGCACGCGACGCCCAGAAGCGCGGCGAATTACGATCCTCTTGTCACATACCCGATGAAGTCAGGTGTTGCCGTGGCCAGTGGGCGGGGCGGTGACTTTGCCGCAAGAGGGTCGCGCTTTCTTTGCGTCTTTTCGAACCATGAAAATAGTGTTCAAATAGTTCGCTGCGGATGAGAGGGCGTGTCAGGCAGCATAAAGTGCCACTTCGCCAAACCCGTTCTCTGCCAGTTGTTGAAGCGGGTATGCGACAAAAGTTGGTAGAAAACGAGTGATACGAACGATATGATACAGTCTTGTCACTTGCTCGCTTCAACAACTGGTGGAGAACTTATATTGGCACCGCGCCAAACTCACCCGCCAGATACCCACCATCGTCCACAGCTGACCACACTATACATCCTCCGCTCCATAGTCCTCAGGCAAAAATCTTCATACCACTGACCTCTTCGCACCTTCCAGCACTGATGCTACCCAAATCCTTTCTTCACGCCTTCCAGCACAGAATGCTATCAACACAAAAAAAACGGGGAGATGAAATAGAAACGACGCCCATACCTCAAAAAGCCCCTAGGCAACACTGCGACCACAGTAATCCGCCGTACTATAACACCAAGTGCTCCTGCATGTCCAACTGCACCGATGAAACAAAATAAGAACGTGGAGAATCATTGTGCCTGTTGTCTTTCATCTGGCCACATTCCTGGATTCCTCCGCACTTTTGCAGTGGAAGACATCCGGTTGACAGATGTCTTGTACAGCAACGTGGCACTGTTGGTAAGATTCTTGTGATCGACACGTTCTTAATCGCGCTTTTCGCGTGTTTATGTAAACAACCGTGTTTCTATATAGATGAAAACTGACTTATTCTCTTCTGCCGCTGAACTTTCTGATACAGACATGAAAATGAATCCGTGGAAGGGATAGGATACATATCGATTTGTGAATCGGCGAAGGTACGCTCTAAGGCTGAGTTCATACATCGCGACACTGAAAACTGAAAAATAGGACGGCACCTAATCCTTCGCGTACTCATCGCCGATTATCCAATTCTTCGATGCTCAAAATCAATACGTATACTTCCCTTTTCGCAATTCTCCGCCTTTCAATTCCGTGGTTTCCTAGTTTCTCCGATTACCTAAAATCAGTAGCGAAAATAGTTTTTTACCCGTACCTATACCAATATATCAAAACCTATTCACTTTTCTGAAAGCTCTCCGGTCCTTCTATACCGCAATTCACCTGATTATCATGTATCTTAGGCTGGGTTCATACCTGTGCGACGCGTCGTCAACGATTCAACGTAGCCGACGAAAGCTGGGTAAGCCGACGAAAGCTGCGCTAAGGCCGCGTTCATACCGTGCGACGTCTTTGCGTAAGTTGCGTAAGTTGCGTAAGCTGCGTAAGTTGCGTAACCGACGACAACTTCGAGAAGAATAGATACGTATCGATCGGTTAGCTGTCGTCGGTTACGCAACTTACGCAACTTACGCAGGTTACGCAGCTTACGCAACTTACGCAGCTTTCGTCGGATCGATACGTATGTATTATTCACGAACCAGTCGCAGCTTACGCAACTTACGCAGCTTACGCAGCTTTCGTCGACGTTGACGTCGACGTCGCATGGTATGAACGCGGCCTAAACAAGACAGACGACTACTTCGCGAAGATTAGATACGTATCGATTCGACGACGAAACCGACGTTTTCGACGAAATCGGCGAAAGCTGCGTAACCGACGAAACCGACGACTACTTGGCAAAGGTTAGATACGGATCGAGTGATATGGCAGTGCCCAACTGGCAACACGTGTGCTTTATAGGCCGCGTTCAGAGCTTACGACCGTGAAGAAATGCAGAAATGCGGAAACTGCAGAAGTGCGGAAAGTGCGGAATCTGCAGAAATGACGAAAAGCAATAGATACGTATCGATTTGAAGAAATGCAGAAATGCCGAAACTGCAGAAGAAATGAAGAAAGTGCGGGAAATCGATACGTATCGGTTGTTTTTCGTCATTTCAGATTCCGCATTTCTTCATTTCTGCATTTCTTCATGGTCGCAAGCTATGAACGCGGCCATAGGAACTCCATATGGTGGATAACTGCAGCAGAGATGTTTCCGATACTCTTGGTTTTATATTTCTTTCTCGAAATCGCCGAACTTCCTTTATTTTTATTCTTTCTTTCCTTTTCAGAAATCGCCGAACTTCCTTCATACCAATTTGCTGTGTCATTCACGTGTATACGGTAAACTCAAATAAGCCTTCGGTGACAATGTTCAAATACAAATCCTCGTGCTGTGCTCGTGTTCTTCGTTCTGAAATTAATCTGAAAACGATCCTTACACATTCATCGTCATGTGCATTGATTTCGATGCACTTTTTTCAGTGATGTTTTTCGGGGTTAATATCGCATATGGAGATTGTTTCTGCCAAACGTGTGTCTGTTGTGATTCATTGATATAACATTTTTACGGCTTGATATAGGTTAGGCTGCAGTTCACTTTAGTCCCAGAGTTCGATGTAATTTTCACCACCGAATACAAATTCAAGTATTTATTTTGGTGTATGCTCATGTTATTGAGCGATTTCAGTGAAATTTGATTCCAGCAATTTGTGTCTTTTCTCCTTGTCGTATCCCTTTGCTCTTGTGGACAGAATTTATTGCCTTCACTCATGATATTTTTAAACACACGAACAATATTTTCAGCTGCATAGGGAATGGATAACTTTGCTGCCCTTTTCAATGCCTTTGAAACACGAGTGGGCAGTGGTAATGAACATATCCTTCAACTGCAACAAAGTAACGCAAAGAAGCAGGTTATTCTTTTGGGATTATGAAGCTTAGGTCTTTTAATTTTTTTGCACAAACGTAGCGACGCGGCGGCGTGTCCGTTTCTGCTTTGCGAGACTAGGTCACAGCGGTTCTGATCGTCTGCGCTCTTTTAGGTCCGAGCCCTGCCCTGGTTCTGGAAGAGAGAACAGATACGGCGCCGCATGCCCCCCTCTACACCATTTTCACCAGTTTCTTTTTTTGTTGTAAATAATGTCTCTTAGGAAACCATTGCAAGCCTGAAGGAGAGGATTGCCCGATATAAGCAACAGGAGAGTGAACAGAAAGCAATACGTGAAAATGCTGAACGTTCACGGAAAGAGTTGTTACAGAAGTTGTCTAAGAGTCTGATCAGGTTTGCTCTCATTATTTAAACCCTGCAGTTCTTCCCTATATAATAGAAGAATGTTCCTATTTCATCATCGATTTTCAATTTTTTTAGCGCGAGAACGTTGCAAGGGGAATTCGAGAAACTTTCCGAGCAATTTTCAGTTCAAACAAAAATCGACCAAGAGTGTGAGTTGATTGGTTTTCAAACTGAACCAGCTGGGACTATTCTACCAGCTGAAATTATGATGCAGTTACGGTCAGCGGCAAATGGCTGGAGAAAGACCTTGGGGAGAGGAGGGACTCGACTGTCTTATTTTCCTTAACTCCGCTAAAAGTTTTTTTCAAATGAAACTTATAAAGGAAACATAGAGCAGTTCAACACCTTGAATCTACGCATTTATTCCAGTGCACTTTTTTCCTACCTAGAGTCTGACGTCTGCGAATTGTTTTTGTCGAAAATGTGTTGGGTCGCAGTTAATGGTTACTACACGTTTATTGCTGAATTAGAACTGGAAACTGTTTACTTGAGCTTCCGACTTTCAGTGGTGATAGTTGGTTGTTAATTGTCAAGAAATTCACTGCAACAGTTTTCTTTTCGGAGCTTTCGAGAAAGGCATTTCGTGGCAGACTGGATATGTATACGACAAATGGTTCCGCAATCGTGTTTTCTAGAGAGATTACCTCTAAAGCTTCCCAAATTCCTCGCAGTGGTGGTACAGAATAGACCAGGAGTACGGAGTGATGCAGGAACTTATACACGTTCAACTCAGTACGCAGTACTGTCCGAGCTAAAAGTTTCGTGGGATGGAGAGTAATTTTGCAAACATCATCTGTAGATATATTCTCCTAAACCATATATGACAGCCATTTGTTCGTCAACCTGGTGCCACAACTCTTCCGCAAGGATTGTAATTTCATTTTCTATTAATCTCAATACCATTGCTGATCACTCTCATTGCCTCTGCCTTATCGATCATTTTTATCACTTTTATTTTATTTTGCCTTTACGGGCGAATAACAAAGGTTACTATGACATGTTCGTGTTACCTGCGAAAAAACCTGTAGGCGCGAACGTGAACCTCCGCCAAATAGCGCCAAAAGGTAATCTTGTATTTATGATTAGTATTGTGTCGCTTATCACTGAAATGTTAGCGGAGCTCAGGAAACGTAACGATTTCGTCTGCATCGGGCTTGGTGACAGTCGCAGGTGCTCTCATCTGTTTTTTGAAACCTTGTGTTATCTGATAGGAAATAGCGCTACGGTTCAAATCCCGCAGTTTGTTCTCGAAACGTCAAGCGGAACTCCGTAGCTGCCTCGCTGTGACACTGCTTCCTCCTCCGTTCCTTGAGCATGGAACTTCACAGAGTCCTTTCGAGTCATTTTGGTCGCGAAGCTGCTCATCAGAAGAAAATCATTGTTCCATTGAAGAAGAATTGAGGACACATTATGTTTATAATAAATTTATCACTATCGGATGCTGCTTGCTTCCAAAAACTGAGTTTAAATTTTTCTTATCCATTACTTACAACCTGAAGCGCTAAACTACTCGATGGGTTTTTCAGTGACAGTTTCTGAATATACAGGACACAGTAGGATAAATTTAATGACGATTGCCTGGGAGAATAGTTCTGACTAGCTGTGAAATTTCTATTGCAGTGCGTATGAAAATGTGTGATTTGAATGTGAGGTTATCACGAATCGCAGAAGCGGATAAGCAGCTCCGTAACGACGTTCAGAAGTTGAAAGAACCAGTAGCAGTTGCTCCTCAAGCTATTGCAGGTGTTCTTTTGTACTTTGCGATATCATCCTACTCTTGTTGCCGAAAACTAGCTCGAATAAATCATCGTATTCTTTCATAATCTATCTTCAGCAGTACAAGAAATGGAGAAGAACGTTGAAGAAAAATTGAAAATGCGTCGCGACGCTTTTGATTTAACAGTAAGTTCTATTTTCCATAATTGATCCAAGAAGTAATCTCTGTATTCTCCCTGCAGGCTCTTGTAGCCGAAGTACAAACGATTGAACAGCAGAGGCAAGAAAGGCTGAAAATGTCTGAGGAACTGCGTGAAAAGTTTGAATATTCATCAGCACAGGATGTTGATAACGGTGAGCATTTAATCGTATGGTCTCCGCTGCTTATCAGTGATGGTTACTGAGGCAAAGTATTTTGTGTTGCGGTAAGAAGAATACTGTACTCACTAACAACGTTGAACCGTTGAATCGCGTCGAGTTACAGGAGCCTTAGAGCGCGTTCAGACTTCGCGATCGCGCGATACCGGGATGGGTGAAATTCACATTGGGGGGGGGGGGTCATGTTTGTTCATGTTTTATTGTTCCTGTTCTCTTTTGAAATAAACAATAAACATGAACAAACATGACCCCCCCCCGGTGTGAATTTCACCCATCCCAGTAGCGCGATCCGAGCGATCCGATCGCGCGATCCTAGTCGAGCGATCCGATCGCGCGATCGCGAAGTCTGAACGCGCTCTTACAAGGGAAGGATACCAACTCGTCCTGGCCATTCAGAATGAGATGTATATTCCTAGGAGCGTCTCCGGATACTGATATCAGATCTGACTTCCAAATCTGCTAAACGATTCTGGGTGGAGAGTTACGGACCTTTTTTGCTACCGTGCTTAACCATTGCGGTGCGACCCCCTGCCCCCATGCTTTGCGCTCGTAAACCCCTCGTGACCCAGCCGCCGTGGCTCGATGGCGCAGCAGGTAAGTGGATGGCTTCATAGTAGTGAGACGGAGGTTCAAATCCTTGATGCATTTCGTAGTTTTGCTTTTTCTTGAAACGCATGCTAAACACTTGGGAAGTAGTTTTGCGTACCTGTCCGACCACCAAGACCCCTCCCTGCTTCTTATTAGGGCCTATGTGCGACTTTTCAGGGGTTTTATTTTAACTTCAGTGAAAGCATTCATTTTGATGGTGTTGGCGTGACAGCTTCATTCGAGGCATATATTTTCGTATTTAATGGGAAACATCAAAGGCTTGGTCCACGATCAGGAATAAAGTTGGAAATATGGTGTCGCGAGGGTAGTGGTCCGCAAGGAACAACCTTGTACTGGTTTACGGCGAAAAAATTGTTAGGGAGGGGTGCTATAACGCAATATAGCTCCAAAGAGGACACTCCTTTACCAGTGGCTCGGTCTCCAGACTCCGCCTTCAAAGCCCATCATCCAATGAAGCTGCAGGACGAAAAAGCATGAAAATCGTAAGCTCACTTGTAAGGTCGTAGAGTTCTTATAGTGAATAAGCTGTGTGGATGAGGGCGTAGTGTAGGAGATGGAGCTCACTGGGCACGTACAAAGTGGCTTGAAATGGGGTTCTATCTAATTGTAAGGCGGGTGACGAGTTTTTTCTGCCTTTTTTCATTACCGAGTTACACAGCTCTAGTCTATGCGAACCCCTAATGCACTATCTGTGATTGCGATTTATCGCAGGTTGTGCCTTTAAGCGAGCACAGTGTGATATCCCAATACAAAATGGTTAGAGCAAAAAAGTTCTTCACAGTGTGAGCTGCGAATAAAAAGAATTTCGCTGCAACCATTATTCTCACAGATTGCAATATTCGAGAGAACTCTCGAACTCGTCTGGATGAGTGTCAAGGTAACCTGCTGAATACCAGGATTAAGAAAGAAATTGTTCAAATCTAGATGCTCTGAAGGGATTCATCGTTATCTTCAGATGCCCAGAAAGGATCTCCACGAAGCTATCTCCCTCGCAGTCGATTATACGGTTGTAGTACAGTGCGTCGCGCACAATAGGATAGAAACTCTCTGCAATCTTCTTTTCCGGGATAGTGATCAAACAATATCGCAAGACCCGAATTCTTTCACTAGGTGTGATAGCACCAGAGTCCGGCAGAACATTTCCAACTATGGTGGACAGGTCGCAAAGATGTTGGCTGATATTGTGGGCGTGAGTGAAGAGAGCTACCAGAGATGACGAATTCTTTCGTTGGCCACACACGTTGTCATCCTATAGGATGATGAAATCTCGCAGTTCACGAGCTCCAAGCAGATATGCATGTGTATTTGGTCCCTTGCTTGAGCTAGTTAGGCAAAAGTGTAAGTTTCCACGAAAATCGTTCGCGGGGCTCAATAAGTAGCAGGGAGGGGTCTTGGTGGTCGGACAGGTACGCAAAACTACTTCCCAAGTGTTTAGCATGCGTTTCAAGAAAAAGCAAAACTACGAAATGCATCAAGGATTTGAACCTCCGTCTCACTACTATGAAGCCATCCACTTACCTGCTGCGCCATCGAGCCACGGCGGCAGCTGGGTCACGAGGGGTTTACGAGCGCAAAGCATGGGCAGGGGGTCGCACCGCAATGGTTAAGCACGGTAGCAAAAAAGGTCCGTAACTCTCCACCCAGAATCGTTTAGCAGATTTGGAAGTCAGATCTGATATCAGCATCCGGAGACGCTCCTAGGAGTATACATCTCATTCTGAATGGCCAGGACGAGTTGGTATCCTTCCCTTGTTAGCTGGCTTTGCGACTTGACGTTTTAGAGAACCAGTGTTTGAGCGAAAGCGTCATCGTTCTGAGCGCAAGTCGATACCTATACCACCCTTCCCGCTTGAAACGCCGAGTCGCGAATTGCGAACGCAGCCTTATTTGAGGTCTCTCCTAGCACTTGGGCACTTACACTGTAAATACGATTTGAAGGGGACGAATTTTATTCATTCGTTCACAATGCATCCATAAGACGCATATACCAAGTAGTCATGTAAAAAGGTCCAGGTTTTGCTGTAAGAAAGAAGAAGGATGAACTTCATTGTAGCAATTTCAATATGTTTAATTCCGGTAATAACAGATTTCATTTAGCACAATGCTTTACGCCTCTCTCATTCCCTTTCTCGCCAGAAAGCCTATATACTGCCTTCATACTTGGGGCGGTGGGCGTTTGTAGCGTCTCTTTGGCGTTTCAGCGTTCAATGGAGTTTTGAGCGTTTAAGAGTGCGTCGATGACCGGTGAAAACGCTTGCGAGCGCTCAAAACACTGGAAACGCTGGTAGATGCTTGAATTGCTGGAGCGACACCTGATTTTTCCAGTCGCACAAAACGCTTTAGTCGCTGACAAACGCTCGAAATGCCGCCGCCAAGTTTGGATGCACTCCACAATTTTAGAATTGGATAACACCTGAAGTGAAGCATTCTTTCAAACTCACACCACTTCCAGTACAAGAACAGGTTTCAAATCGACCAGGAAACAGTAGCTCACTTGGAAAGAACCATGCAAAACGGAATTTGGCTCCCGTCTGAATGGTTCAGCCTGGTGGATTGTTTTTCTCTACTTTTAGAAATGCTCCAAGAGCGATTGGATACAATCGAGAATGAAGTTTCGAATATTAAGAGCGAGAGAAGGAAGGTGAGTTTTGTTAAAGTTTTTATTGCTACTAACGCATTAAAAGTTAGATTGCAAGTAAGGAACTTTCATCTGTGATGCGTACGGCGGAAGTTATTATTGATTTCGGAATCGTGCGCTTTGCAGTCCGTTTTTTTAAGCCGTAATAGCCGTCTTGCCGAATGTAAAGAATCTATAGTTCGGTAGTATACGCAGTTCAGATCGGGAAAACTGGGTCAAAAAGACACCTAGGACACGTCGTAAGCTGAGGAATCCCCCTAGCACGGCGGATGGAGAGATGAGGTTTGCATTTGGTCCTGGATTTTTAATGGTTGATTAGAATACGCAGTCCAGATCGGGCAAACCAGGTCAAAAGGTTTCTTCCGCGCAATCCCAACGTTGGAGGGGGAAAGAGGTCGTATCTACTCGCCGCTTTGAGAGGGAGGTCGTACCATGAAGGAAACTAGGGGTGGGGCATTTACAAAAAACTCCCCCTTCCCCTCCCCCAAGAGGTGCAATTTAGACAGTGTCTTTTATCGATCTGCAGAATTCGCGACTAGGGAAAATTGGCAGCGGTACCCGACCCAGTCGTTGATCGCCCTTCTACTGAATCGCTGATACCTCATATTGTACGTATATTTTTCCCTCACATCCTTCCGGATCGCTGATCCTGCCAGTTCGTGGATCCTCCACTTGTGGAAAATAAGAGCAAACATCAATATGATGGTTGTGTAGTTGAAAGAAGTGTATGAAAGACTCAGCTAGATTTTCAGGTATATGATGAAAAAGTTGCGAACGATAGCAGTCTAATGGTAGTAGTTTCACAAAATGATGACTTCCAAAAGGAAATCGATTCGGTAAAATGTGAACTAGAAGAACTGGAGCGCCAAACATTGGAAGTGAAACAGAAGCAGGTGGATTTGGTTATAATTATTAACACCATGTTGCAATGGTCTACCAATCATAATATTATATCCTTCGTCTGTAGACCGAAAA